TCTCCTTATTCTTGCAGGTGCCAGTCAGGGTCTCTCGAGGTTAATGTCCCTCGGTGGTCAGGTTCCTTCACTCTTAAGCGTCCCTCGCCGGTCAGGGTCCCTCGGTGGTCAAGCTCCCTTGAGGTTAATGTCCCTCGATGGTCAGGGTCCTTCACTCTTAAGCGTCCCTCGCCGGTCAGGGTCCCTCGGTGGTCAAGCTCCCTTGAAGTTAATGTCCCTCGATGGTCAGGGTCCTTCGTCCTTAAGGATCCCTCGGCAGTCAGGGTCCCTCGGTGGTCAAGCTCCCTTGAGGTTAATGTCCCTCGATGGTCAGGGTCCTTCGTCCTTAAGGGTCCCTCGGCGGTCAGGGTCCCTCGGTGGTCACTGTCCCTCGGATCCTCCGTCCAGAGCGGCCCTGCAAGAATGGCAGAGCAGCGTCAGTGGGGAGCGCTGCCCCTCCTCCTCCCCTTCCCCCTCCGTGGCCCCAGGAGCCAGGCCCCGTCCAGATGAGTCCAGGTGAGGGAGGGGGCAGGTGGGGGGCCAAGGGTCCCCAAGGAGGCCCTTGGCCCATTGCCAGGGGAGGAGGAATGGCCACCTGCTTCATAGGTTTGTAAAGGCCACTGACAGCCGCAAATGGGTTGGCCTTCCTCGGGCGTTCCACTGGAAAATACAAATGCAATCTTCTCCATGAAGTCTGTAAAATGCACACATGTGGATTTTCATGGCAACTGTGCAACTGTTCAGAACATTCTAGAGCTTTAGCATTGAAACATTTTGGCGAAGGCCCCGTCCACACTCCCTGATGAGTATATAAGCCCGTGGGTGGGGCTGAGCCTTAGTTCCTTTTTCCCGCTGCGATCGGCAGCTGTAGGAACCTCTTCTAGTCGCTGGAGCCTTGGCAGACAGCAGAGAGCAAAAGCTCCTGAATAGCCCCAATCAGGGACGAAGTCTAAAGACGCTCAAAAGAAGATCAAAAAAAAGAAGGCAACTCACTGGCATGTGGCCTTTGAGCCCTCCTCGTCTGAATTGGGAGCTTCCCCAAATCGGGAGCCTTTGCTTCCCTCCTCCTCATTGGAGGGGCCATCCCACCTGACTCCTGCAGAGTTCTGGATGGAGCTGGATAAGCACAAGCAGCAGCACCATCAGGAAAACTCAGGCGTCGGCCTTGAAACCCTGCCTTCTCCCCAGTCGCCTGGAACTGCGACACTCAGGGAAACAGACCAGGGGATGAGCCTCCCCCTTGGGACCGAGGCCCCGGGACCACAGGGAATGCCACCTACCCCTCTCGGTCCCAAAAGTGAGAGACAGGCATCAGTGGATGCCGCCACCAGGAGGGAAACCGATCCCCACGGTACCAACAGTGTTTGCTGTCTGTGGATTCTTGATACTCGTGCCCCTGCAGCCCATCCAAAGCATTCCATTTCTATTCATGGTCACGGTCACCTGCCCCAAGGGCCTACGACCCATACTCAGATTATGGCTATTTTCCATACCCCCCCCCCCAATATGGGAAATATCACCATGCAAACTGCTATTGGGACAGGACACCGTACCGAGTCTGGGGCGAGGTGTCCATCGGCCCCGTCGGCTACAGTCCCTTCCCCCCCCCCCCCCCCCCCCCCGCAAAGAGGACACCCCACACCGACCTGCAGCGGGCCCCACTCTGATGGCTCCAGCGACAGTCAATCTTTGTTCTCCCCAATGGGAAGAGGAGGATGACCACAAACAATCTGACTCTCATGCAGGGGAAGCCGCGACCCCAGCAAATGAGCCGCATGGGAACCCAGAACCTGATCCTCTCCCCTCAGAGGAATTTAAGAACTTCTCAGCCCTCCTTATTAGGTTGGCACGTGCTCTCAATCTACGTACCACGTAGCCCACAGCAGTAGTGGAAGACCCTTGCTTCCTGTCTTCAGAACAGCAGACTTCCACTTCTACCGTTTTGCCTCCACTACCCTATTTACTCCAAATCATCAAGACACCTGGAGTGTCTCCATCGCTGGTCCCAGACACTCCCAAAAGCGCAGGAGGGCTTTATCAAATGGATCTCTCTTCAGCTTCTTGGCTGGCTAAACAACCCAAACCTAACTCAATAGTCACTGATGCTCAATTGCACCCGGCCCAAAGAAATCAAACCTCAGTTTCTGATAGAGAAGGGAAGAAGCTTGACGCCATGGCCAAAAAGTTTTACTCTTCAGCTTGCCTCTTTGCATGCATGGCACGCTATGCCGTCTATACGAGTGTATACCAAAACTTTTTGTGGCGCAAGATTGCCCTCTACTTGGACATGCTCTCTATGGGTGAACAAGCACTAGCCAAAGCATTACAGCAGGAAGCATGCTCACTAGCGAGTCTACAAAAGGAGCTTGCCAAAAATACAGCAGAAAATGACAAAGCCCTCCAACAACAAAAGCGTTGTTTTTATCCCCAGCCGTTCAGTCTCCCCAATTCAGCACCCAACTTCCCCAGTTCAAACTCCTCCGCGTTGTGCTCCTTCACCCTCCTTGTCATCAGCCAAAATGTTTCAATGCTAAAGATGTTCCAAACAGTTACACCGGTGCAATGAAAACCCATATGTTTGCATTTCACAGACTACCACTTGAAGAAATATGGTTACAGGTATGCAACCTATACTTCCATTTAATATATGAACAAGGACAAGCCTGAAGTGGTCACAGAAAAATCTGGGATGGTATAAGATACTCTTGACAAGAATGGACCATTCAGCCAAGAGAACCAGAGACCTTGTCCTCAGAGATGTATACCCCAAGTCAAGGCTCAGGAGAGGAAGAGAGGAGCCAAGGCTTCTTCTGAAGACCTGACTCGGTCATCCCAAATGTTTCCTATGGCTGGATCTACACTGTCAAACAATGCAGTTTGGACTAATACACACACACACACTCACACATAGAGTCAGTGTAGACCCATATTATGAAGTTCGGTGCAGTTCAGAGGGCATTATATTGGTTTACACTGACTATTTAACACAATACAGACTGCATTGTATGGCACTGTAGATCCAGCCTCAGTTTACTGCCATATCTCCACAAGAGTCTTCATATTAGGGATTGTTCCTTCAAATATTCATTTCAACTGGCAGCACCTTCAAATCTGGCCAATAAAAGGATGAGAGATACACAACATCCCAGGCCAGAGATGGGTTTCTCGGTCCCGGAGGAGAGCCACAAGCCCAAAAGAAATCTCTGGGGCCTGCAGAGCTCAATGAAGATTTGACTATACAATGCCTGACATGAAGCTTATGGTGAAGATACAACAGGTGACACCTAGGAGGATTGTGTCAGGTAAGTGAATCAGAGAAACCCTGGGTCTTCCTTCCTCCTTCCTGACTCCATGAATCCCAATATGAATCTTCAGGCAGGAGAGTCCGCAGGTCTCTTTCCTTCATGGCCCATGTCTTTGGGGAGTGCATTATGCAATTCCAGAAATTCCTGGGCAAAGATCTGTCTATGGACCATGTTCTGTGGAATAAGGTTGCCATTGTTCATGGAATTGCCTTTGACTGTCCAGTGCATCCCCTGAAGAAGGCCAACTCCATGAGTGGTGAAACACTTTGGGCTTCTTTGAGCCAACAAAGCAGGTGGCCACCTTTCTCCAAGTGGAGCTGAGTCTCCCGAATGGCCTGGACAGATGGGGGCTGCGACCCTGCGACCCTCCCGTGACCCCTGCCCTCCTGACCCCTCTGACTGGGTGGGGACAGAGGGAGGGATGATGGAGGTGTTGGGGGGGCAGGAGGAGGGAGGCGTGGCAGTGCCTGGAGGGGAGGGGGAGGGGAGGAGGGGCAGGACCCCTGGGTGGGCAAGAGGGAGGGAGGCGCCCTTGTGGGGATGCCACCTTGGGGACGAGGAGGCGGTGGTGGCATCCCAGGCCGAGAGGGAGGGGTCGGGGGAGGGGGGAGAAGTCAAAGGAGGCAGAGCCCACCCAAGTGGAGGAAGGAAGGCCCAGGGAGCAGGTGGTGGTCCCTCCTCTCCAGGTCCCCAAATCCCCCACAGAACAGAACAGAGCACAACGTTGAGCGATATTCAAGAAGACGAAAACCCAAAAGGAACAAAAATTAAAAAGAACATTTTAAAACAGGAGCTCTTGCTGATGATCTTATTTGCCCAATTGAAGACTTTGTGGAAAATATCCGAAAAAGGATCTAACAATGTTTATTTGGCAAGGAAAGAGAGCGAGGATTAAATGTATGAACTTAACGGATGAAAAGAACAGAGGAGGCTTAGGACTCCCTGGTGTAAAATTATATTACGAAGCATGTGTATTAGTTTGGAGAAAGGATAGGACGACTCTCCAAAAAGCAAGAATCCTGACACGAGAGGGATTCGACCTCAGGCAAGGCTGGCACGCATGGAATGGATGAATGGGAAGATTATAAACTGAAATACACTTATTCATACGAATTAAAAGAATATCGGTAAAAAATGATGTACCAGCGATACATCACCCCCGACAAACTAGCAAAATGTTATAAAAATTTAGACACAAAGTGCTGGAAATGGGAATCAGAACAAGGCACCTTCTTCCACATGTGGTGGAATTGCAAAAAAACAAAAAAAATTCTGGAAAGCAATTCACGCCACCGTTCAGAAGATATTACAGGAACAAATTAAACTTAGGTTGTTGTAGGTTTTTTTGGGCCATATGTCCATGTTCTAGAGGCATTCTCTCCTGACGTTTCACCTGCATCTATGGCAAGCATCCTCAGAGGTGATAGATGCAGGCGAAACGTCAGGAGAGAATGCCTCTAGAACATGGACATATGGCCCAAAAAAACCTACAACAACCCAGTGATTCCGGCCATGAAAGCCTTCGACAAGAAATTAAACTTAAATCGGAACACTTTTTATTGGGAATTACAGATGAAAAATTAGAGAAGAATAAAGATGTCTTCTTTAACTATCTAATTTTCCCCAGCCCTTGCCTTCCCTCACTCCTTCTCCTTCTCCCCACTTCCCCACACCTCACGCAGTTCCCCCACCACATCCCTAACTTCCCCCCCCCCCTTTCTTCCCTGTTTTACCTAACTGGTAAATTTCCATAAAAATTAATGTTAACAATGAAACCAGAGAGGGGCCAGAGGGGCCCAGGCAGTCTTCCTGCTCTGCTCTGCTCTGCTCTGTTCCCAGGGCCCCTGGTGGCAATGGGGCCCAGAGCGGGGGCGGGGCTTCTGCAGGGGGCAGGGCTTCCCTGGGCCAGGGCTGGGCAGACTCCCGCCTCCTGGGCGCTACTTCCCTTTGGGGCTGCGGCACAGCTGGAGCGCAGGTCTTCCTGTTGGGCGCGCACGCGGGGGATCGTGGTGTTCCTGCAAAGGGCAGAGAAAGCAGGGCTTGGGTCTCCTTCCATGGGAGCCTCTCTTAGGGCCTGCGCTGAAGGGGACCCCAAGGCGGACCCTCCTCGGCTGACGTGTGTGAAGATCCCTTACCTTGCCAGCCAGGGTGGCAGGGCCCAGGAAGAGACAGGCTAGGTAGTTTCAGCTTAGAAGGCCTGGCAGAGAGCTGCTGGAGCCATCTTAGTTTAGGGAAAAACTCCAGTTCAGAGAGGGGGAGTGGCCGAGGCCTGAGCCAGCCCAGCAACAGCCAGGATTGGTTTGGAAAAGAGGGGCGGAGTTAGTCAGTTGGAGGGAAAGAGAGCAGATTATTTTGACAGTTCAGTTCAGTTCTGAGTGAGGTTAGAGTAGGATTTGGAGTTTTTAGGAGTCTCTGTTAGGAATAGGCAGCTTGCCTGTAGTTTGCATAGCAAAGTAGGCTGTGGCAGACTGGGTTACAGCTATTTTTAGAAAAGAAACCTCCCTCCTTCTTGCCTTCTCTCTCTTTTCCACCCCTTCTTCTCTCCCTCCTTCTCATCTTCCTTCCTTCCACCTCCCTCGCTTCCCCTCTCAGCCCTCCCTCCCTTCCCTCCCTTCTTCTTTTCGCTCCTCCCTCCCTCCTTCCCTCTATCCTCCCTTGCTTTCTTTTCCCCCTCCCTTCTTCCTTTCTTCCTCCTCCCTCTTTTCTCCCTCCCTCCCTCCTTCCCTCCCTCCCACCTCCCTCACTTCCTGCTTTCCCTTTCTACATTCCTCTCTGTCTTTCCCCTTCCTCCTTCCCTCCCTCCCTTTGTCCCTCCCTCCCTCCCTTTCCTCCCTCGCTTCTTCATTTCCCTTCCTCCTTTCCTCTCTCAGTTCTCCCTTCCTTCCCATCTTCCATCCCTTCCTCCTTTCCCCCCTTTGTCCCTCCCTCGCTCTTTCACTTCCTTTCTCTTTTCCTTCCCTCTTCCCTTTCCTCCTCCCTCCCTCCATTTCTTCCTCCTTACTTTCCTCCCTCTATCCTTTCTTTCCTCCTCCTCCTTTTCCTCCCTCTTTTCTCCCTCCCTCCCTCTCATCTTCCTCCCTCCCACCTCCCTCACTTCCTCCTTTCCCTTTCTCCCTTCCTTTCTCAGTCCTCCTTCCCCCCTCCCATCTTCCTCTCAGTTCTCCCTTCCCTCCCATCTTCCATCCCTTCCTCCTTTCCCTCCTTCGTCCCTCCTTCACTCTCTCTTCACTTTCTTCCTCTCTCCCCCATTTCTTCCTCCCCCCTTTCCTCCCTATATCCTTTCTTTCTCTTTTTCTCCTTCCCCCTCTGTCCCTCTTTCTTTCCTCCTCCCTCCCTTCCTTACCGGTCCATCAGGTGGGTGGGTCCTTGGCGTACTCTGGGGGGTACCTCTGTCGCCTGCTGGCCGCCACCAAGCGCCGAAGAGCAGCTTGCAGTCCGTGCCGGGAGTGGAGGGCGGAGGTCCTGGCGAGGATGGCCTTGGTCTCCCAGCCAACTCGCCTGACTTCAGGGTCATGGTCGGCAAGGAGGAAGATCAGCCCTGGAAGGGAGAGAGGGAGGGAGGAGAAAAGGTGAGGGAGGGCACACGGACTCCCCAGGGAGCCTCTCCCCCCAGGCCCAGGCCCTCTCAGGCCCCACTTACAGGCCTCGAAGGTGCAGACGTTACTCTGGGTCGCGATGCTGCCGATCTTGTGAAGCAGGTGACCTGGAGGGAAGGCAGGCAACAAAGAAGAGAGGGATGACCTCCATGAGCAAAGAGTGCCCTAGAGTTCCCCAGGAGGGGCTCCAAGGACTGTTCTGCAATGGGGGTGGGGGGGTCCCTCTGGGGAAAAGGCCCCTCCTGCTGCCCCAAAGGCTGACCTGGAAGCCAGGGGTGGGCACGAACGGGGCCAAGACCCTCCCGGTCCCTTACCGAGCAACATGGCTGCCGCCTTCTTTGCTGATGGATGTTGGCTCTTAAAGAAAAGCAGGAAGCCATACACCTTCTCCTCCAACTCCCACCTGGAGCTGCAGTGCTGGATCTGGAGGAGAGAGCGGGGTCAAGAGAAGCCAGGCAGAAGGGCCCTTGACTGCCAGGCCTTAGGGCGACCACTAACCAGGCGCTTGGACATCTTGTGCAGCAGCTCCTGCAGGCTGAAGGTGTCCCGCGCCAGAACGCTCTCCTCCAGGTGCCATCCGAGGACCTGCGCCACCTCCCGGAGGGTCTCCCTCGCAGCCTTCCAAGAGGAGAAGGAAGAGGGAAGCTGAGCCAGGCTCCCGTGGAGGGCAAGGGCCCCCTCCCTCCTCCCTGAGCCGCAAGGCCTTGTGGGGCCAGAGCTGGGCTTCCCTCCTACCTTGGCAACCTCCTCATCCTCATCTTCCACGTGCACCAGCACCGCCAGGAGGCCATGGATGGTCTGGCGCTCCTGATTGGGATCTTCTGGGCGCCAGAGAATATGTTGGAAGCATTCCAGGGCTGCCTTCCGGATCTTGGCCGCCTCCTAAAAGGGGGAGTGAAAAGAAAGCCATCTTTCCCCCGTTTCCTTCCCTGAAGGCCCTTCTCAGGGCATGGGGAGAGGGAAAAGCCAGCTCCCTCCCTCCCTCCCCAAGGAGGAGGCCCAGGGGCCAAGACTCACGTGGTGGAAGAGAAGGCGGTAGACGGCAGCCAGGTGAACCTTCGCGGGGCCCCGGTCTTCTTCCTCAAGCAAGGGCTCCAGCCGGCCAGCCAGGTCCAGGAACTCCAAGGTGATGTTGTTGTGGGGGGATTGCAACCCCGCAGTGACCCCGACCAGGAGCTCCTTAAGGCCCATGGTCTGCAAAGAGAGAGGAAGGAGGGCGAAATCNCCTTCCTATCCTGCTATTTCCCCCCCCCCCCTATTTCTCTCTACCACCCCTATACCTTACCCACCCCGTTATTGTATGTTTTTAATGAAAATTAATAATAAAGATTATTTTACAGTGAAAGCGCAGCCCTGTGTAAGATGTACCCCGCCTCCCCCCTTCTTTGAGGAAGGAACCTTCCAGGATCTTCTTGCTACGACTTCAAGAGCAAGGCCTGTTGGGCCTCTCTGTGCTGCACGGAGCCTGGGCTGCGCTTGACTTACCTCCCTGTAGGTCTTGCAGAGGAGGAGGAGACCCTGCCTGCTCTGATGTTGGACGGCCAGGCTGCGATGTTGGAGCCAGGCCGTGAGCAGCGTCCAGGTCTTCTCCGGGGAGTGAGGGCGCTGGCCGATGTGCAGTAGCTGAAAGAGAAGAGGAGAAGCGTGAGGGGCTAGAGCCAGGAAGGGAAGCACTGTCTCTTCTCACCTCACCAGCCCTGCCCTAAGGCCCTTTCCAACCCCAAAACCCAGGCCGACCAACCCTCCTCACCTGAATATAGAAGACCACCATGCCGGCTGAATGCTCCAGCGGCACTTCTGCCTCCCAGGTGGAACTCAGGTGCCGGAGAAGGGAAGAAGAGGACTTGAGGAGGCTCCTGCAAGACAAAAGAGACCCCCTGAGGGAACCCAGCCAGAGAGAACAAGCCGGGCCTCCTCCCTGAACCTCCTCCGGCCCTTGCTCCTTACTGTAACTGGAGGGCCATCCCCTCGGGGCAGATGCTGGGATCTTGAAGCATCTTTTCGGAGGTCTCGTTGAGGGACACCCAGGCCACCCTCTTCACTAGCACTGAGATGATCTTTGCCAATTCTCTGCAGAAGAAAAAGGAAAGAAAAAGGCTTACTTCCCAGTGGAGGGTCTGAGTTCCCCATCAGCCTCCCCAAAAGGGCTGGGAGTCCTGCTGACCCTTCCTCCCCACCCACTCCTTTTTTTTTAGATATTTTTATTAGCTTTTCTTAAGTACAAAAATATAAAAGTATGGGGGGTGCATATTGGGGGTAGGGAAACAGTGAAGGTAAAAGGGGAATGGGGAGGGAGGGGGGGAAACCCACCCACTCCTTACACTGGAGGAACGTAGCTGCTGCTCCGGTTCCTGCTGGGCACCTCCAACCCAGGCCTTGTGACCTCGATGAAGTTGGTCACCAAGGCGAGCAGAAGCTCCACGAACCACTCCTCCAGGCGAGTGCTGTCCCTGATGTGCTTTATGATCCCGCCGATGGCCCGTGTCGCTCTTGCCTGCGGAGAGAAAGGAGGAGGTTTGGACCTCAACAGAAGGAGGGCTCCTTGTCAAGGCTGGGAAAGAGGGGGTCTCATTCTCCTTCCCCTTACCGTGGCCGCATCCCAAGTAGGGCCGCCCTGTTCCTCGCCCTCCTGGGCTAGCCAAGGGCCCTCCTTCACCTTGGCCAGGAACAGGTCCAGCGCCGCCTCCAGGCAACAATACTGAGAATTTAGTACGGCGCATACTAATTCACCACAAGGCCTGTGAATGAAGAGAGGGAAGGGGGAGCCATGGTCAGGGCCAGCCTTGTCTCCGATCCCATGGGGAGACCGCTAGGGCCCCATGGGACAGGGGAGGGGCACCCCCAGGCCCAGCTGTCCTACCTCCCATTGGACTCCAGAAAGTGGTCCGTGGCCATCTTGAGTTGTTTGCGGGCCACGTAGTCCACTGCCTGCATGGCCTCTGCAGAGGAGGGACTGCAGACCAGCTGGCAAAGACGATGCAGGTGTTCTTTCGCCTGAAAGCAAAGAAAGGAGGGAAGAAACAATGGCACCCGGCAGCCATGGAAAGGCTCTTGGGGCCAAAAGTGGAGGGAGAGAGTTGACAGGTGAAGTGTGTTGAATGCCTGCTGAGGGTAACTGGGCATTGGGCTCCCAACATACCTTTCCAGTGGCCAGAGAGACCACCAGGTGACGAACGAGATCCGAGAAGAGCAGCCTACCTGAAGGCCGGATTTCTCTGGGACGAACCTGCCACCCGGAAGGTCTCTGCAGGAGGCCCCTCTTCATCTCCTGAGGAAGGCATTGGGCAATGCCTCCTGGATGGTGGTCCCAGGCCCCAAGGAGAGAGAGACAAGAAGGCAAGGTCAGAAGAAGTCTTCCCCTCTCTTCTCTCTGGTGGAGCCCCCCAAGCCCCCATGGAATAAGAGTGCAGGCTGAGGCCCCCTTGGGCCTCAATTGGGAGAGGGAGGGAGGAGACCTCTGCCTGCCATGTTCCCCTGAAACTGGGAAGGAGGTACCTCTCTGTATTGAGGTCCAGGGCCACCCACTCCGGCAGGAACAACTCAGAAGGGATCCCAACTTCCTTTGAGCCCTGTTGAGGGGGAAGAAGGGGGAAGAAGAGGGAAGTTTGTGCTGTGCCTTTTGCCACACCCTCCCTCACTCTTTCCCAGGTGAATTCGTACTGCTAATCCTGGAGAGGGTTGGACTGCAACCCCCAGACCTCCTCCCCAATGACCACGCTGCCTGGGGCTGATGGGACTTAGAGTTGCCAGATTCCCACCGCAAGGGAGGCCTCTTCAGCCAAGGGCCACCTTGAACTCAAGGGGTCTTGGGGTGGCCCTGATCCAGCTCCCCCTTTCCAGCCCCCCTCTTTCACTCACCAAGTCTTTGGGTAGTTTGTTCTGCAGCGGAGTTGGGCTCTTCTCCGAGAGGAAGCTGCTAGAAGGGCAAGGGACAGAAGAAGAGCTCAGCTTGGGATCCCCTCCATTCTCCCAAGGTCCCCAAGGCCAGCCCCACCCCAAGGACCTTCCAGCCCCTGGGAGGAAGGCAACATTCTGGGAGGCCCCAAACCCCCAGACCGCAGCCTGCCCTACACTCCCCCCCCCAAAAAAAAAATCATGGGCAGGAGGTACCTCTCTGCTCTCTCGGAGGACGTCAGGCTCCCCCTCTGCACTTCCAGGCTGCTGTCCGCCCAGGGGAGCTCCTCTCTCCCCAGAAACTGTAGGGAAAGGAAGGGAAACTCAAGGCTCCAACAAAGAAGGGCTTCTCCTTCTGCTACAACCTCTCTCCCTCCAGTCATGTTTGGACTACCACCCTCAGCATTCTTCTCAGTTGACCACACTGTCAGAGGCTGCTGGGATTTGCAGTCCAACGACACATGAGGGCTGCAGGATCTCCTCCGCTCTTTAGCAGAGGCCCACCTGGGAACCAAAGTGGAATCGGCCTCCTTTCTTGGATGCTGACCGTTGCCTTGGCCCAGCTTCTGTGAGGGACAGGGAGTGAACGGGATGGAGGAACCCAAGGGGAAAGGATGGCTATCCTTCTCCAGGGGTCACCATGGGACACTCAACCCACTACTCATCTCCTGTCCCTGAAGCTCTGTCTCCCTCTGAAGGCGGGCACCTCTTCTGCTTTGGTCAGACCCTGCCTGGAATAGGACTGTGTCCAGTTCTGGGCACCAATGGTCAGAACAGACAGGGACAAACTAGATTGTGTTTAGAGAAGAGTGACCAAAAGGGTGAAAGGTCTGAGAACTATGACTCCCTTTGAGGACTGGTTGAGTGAAAAGAGAAGGCGGAGAGGGGGTATGAGGGCCATGTTTAAATATTTGGAAAGGTGTCCCATTGGGAATGGGGAGCTTGATTCCTGTGTCTACAGCTGCTGATGGAGAGTAGATTCACACATTCATAGAATCAGAGTTGGCAGATATCCCCAAAGGCCATCTAGTCCAGCCCAGTTCTGCCATTCAGTAGAAGGAAGCCCTACTGGACTCCCAGGCAGGAAAAGCCCTCTATCAAACAGCATTTTCTGTCAGGAATTTATTCCTGATGTTTAGGGAGAATCTCTTTTCCTGCAGTTGGAAACCATTGCTCCTTGAGGCCCTTGTCTCTGGAGCAGCGGAAAACAAGCTTCCCTCTCCTCAATGGGACATCTCTTCTGATATTCAAACCTGGCTCTCATGTCCCTTTCAGCCTTCTTTTCTCCAAGCTAAACACACTCTGCTCCCTGAGCTGGTCCTCATAGGAATGCATGTCATTCAGTTCCTTAGCAAGCTTCTTAAGTGACCAATGTCCAATGTGGCAAATTGCAAGTCCAGAGTTTTCAGGCCCATGGAAATGATCTGCCAGGAATGGGAAACCTAGAGTTTTTGTTTTATTGTTCTACCCCACCAACTGGCCAGACCACCAAGTTTGGAGGATTGATCCCAACATTCACCTGAGGGTCAATCCAAGCTAATTCTCTATGATTTGAGAAGCTGATGGATTTCACCATGGTGCCTGCATGATGTCACCACTCGGTTCCACAACCGAGTGGCCATCACTGAGAAGGAAGACCCTGTCTCATGTCCCCACCAATCACGCTTGCGAAGAGAGAGGGACCGAGAGCAAGGCCTCCCCAGCAGATCTTAAAACTCTAGTTGGTTCATAAAGGGAGATATGTTTGGTCAGGAAAAGCCCTCTATCAAACAGCATTTTCTGTCAGGAATTTATTCCTGATGGTTAGGCAGAATCTCTTTTCCTGCAGTTGGAAACCATTGCTCATTGAAGCCCTTGTCTCTGGAGCAGCCGAAAACAAGCTTCCCTCTCCTCAATGGGACATCTCTTCTGATATTTAAACATGCAGGCAGGATGTTTAATAAGAGCCGGGGGGGGGGGGGCTTGGGGGGCTTTAGCCCCACCTGAAATTCTCATGGTGGTTTGCGAAAAGGCCTTACTGGTGCATGTTTATTCATATCATGATCTGATCACTATACTCAATATATCCCATATGCATGGGGGTATTGGGGTAACGATACAAAAGGTTTGCTAGGGTAGACCCTCTTTCACTCGGACTCAGCCCCCCCCCAAAACAAAGTCAGCCCCCCCCCCCGAAACGAAATCCTGGCTACGGGCCTGTAAACATGGCTCTTATATCCCTCTCGGCCTTCTTTTCTCCAAGCTAAACACACCCTGCACCCTAAGGAATGCATGTCATTCAGTCCCTTAGCAAGCTTGCTTAAGCGACCAATGTCCAATGTGGCAAATTGCAAGTCCAGAATTTTCAGGCCCATGGAAATGATCTGCCAGGAATGGGAAACCTAGAGTTTTTGTTTTATTGCTCCACCCTACCAACTGGCCAGACCACCAAGTTTGAAGGATTGATCCCAACATTCACTTGAGGGTCAATCCAAGCTAATTCTCCATGATTTGAGAAGCTGGTGGATTTCACCCCACAGGGGACACATGGCAGCTTACAAAATCCGGCAAGACTTTAATGCCATAACATACACTTTACAATAAAAGAAATATAACTAACATAACCAAGGCTGGAGTTAAACATGAACAACCTTAGATATGCAGATGATACCACTTTGAGGGCTGAAAGGGAGGAGGAGCTAAGGAGCCTTCTAACCAAGTTGAAAGAAGAAAGGGCAAAAGCTGAGTTGCAGTTAAACATAAAAAAACAAGATTATGGCAACCAGACTGATTAATAACTGGCTAATAGAAGGAGAAAACATGGAGGCCGTGACAGTCTTTGTGTTTCTAGGTGTGAAGATGACTGTAGACACATACTGCAGCCAGGAAGTCAGAAGGCATTTCCTTCTCGGGAAGAGAGCAAGGACCAATCTCGATAAAATAGTGAAGAGTAGCGACATCACACTGGCAATGAATGTTCACATAGTTAAAGCAATGGTATTCCCCGTGGTAACTTATGGATGCAAGAGCTGGACCATAAGGAAGGCTGAGTGGAGGAAGATAGACGCTTTTGAACTGTGGAGTTGGAGGAAGTGTCTTGGACCACAAGAAGATCCAACCAGTCCATACTCCAGGTATTAATAACCGGCTGCTCACTGGAAGGAAAGATATTAGAGGCAAAGATGAAGTCCTTTGGCCACATCATGAGAAGACAGGAAAGCTTGGAGAAGAGAATGATGCTGGGGAAAATGGAAGGAAAAAGGAAGAGGGGCTGACCAAGGGGAAGGTAGATAGATGGTATCCTTTAAGTGACTGGCATGACCTTGAAGGAGCTCAGGGTGGCTATGGCCAACAGGGAGCTCTGGCCTGGGCTGGTCCATGAGGGCACCAAGAGTTGGAAGCAACTGAACAAATAAACAACAACAAAAACCATAATACATAGCCTATCAACTATAAAACAATGAAAACATATAATCCACTAAAAATAAACAAGACAATGAAACAGATTAAAACATATAACATATTAAAAGCATAAAGTGCTGAGTCGTGAGTTTATACTGAGTAATTTGTTTATAGTCGTGGTCAAAACTGTTGAACTCGAATTCTGTATTGGCCTATTCTCTGAAAGCCTGCATACAAAGCCAGGTCTTTAGTTTTACCTGAAGATCAGGAAGGATGGGGCCTACCTGATGTCACTAGGGAGGGAGTTTCACAACCTAGGGGCCATCACTGAGAAGGAAGGCCCTGTCTCATGTCCCCACCAATCATGCTTGCGAAGGTTGTGGGACCGAGAGCAGGACATCCCCAGCAGATCTTAAAACTCTAGTTGGCTCATAAAGGGAGATAGGTTCGAACAGGAAGTTGTACCAGAACCGTTTCTAGTAAATTACTAGAAACCTTGGACATCTGCGCCCAATCCCACAGTTTATCCCTCCAATTTTTGATGCTTAATGGTTTTTTTTTCACTTTTCCAATCTTTGACCATTGTTATACACGCAGCAATGAAGCTGTAATGACAAATTTCTCTTTCTAGGCACATCCCTGGATTTTTTAAAACTTGGTTGTGGAACATTATTTTTGTTACCTTGATCATTTTTTCCAATAAGCCTGCACCAATTCACAAGACCATCACACATGGAAGAAGGTCCCTTTCTCTATTTTATACTTCCAACAGAATCCTGATTGCAAATTATCTATTTTGGTGAGGAGAGCTGTGGTTGCATAACACCTCTTCCTCTATCACAGGCACGACTTGTGGGAACGAGGGAGAGAGCCTTCTCCGTTGTGGCCCCCCGGCTATGGAACTCGCTACCTGCTGAGATTAGGCAAGCCCCCACCCTAGCAGCCTTTAAGAAAGATCTAAAGACTTGGCTTTTTCTGATGTGCCTTTGGAGAGTGACCATATATTCCAGTCCTGTTGCTTCACCTACACTGCTTCCCTCATATTGCACTTTCCCCCACCTTATTGAAAATCTAATTCCACTGTTCGGTCCCCTATGAGCTCCTCCCCCACAAATGTACCTTTTCATTGCTATCTCATCCAGTGTTTTATCATTTTATGTCGTGCATTTGGCCCACCCACTGTGTTTTCTTTTCCACTATGTTATTTTGTACTGTTTGTATTTTTCTTGATTGGTTTATTGATTTTATTGTGATGTTATTTTGTTGTTTATATTTTATGTTGCTATAATGTATCGCTGGGATTGGCCTCATGTAAGCTGCTCTGAGTCCCCTTTGGGGAGACGGTGGCGCGGTAGAAATAAAGTTGTTTATTATTATTATTATTATTATTATTATTATTATTACTACTGCATAACACCTATAGAACACTTTATATCAATTGTCTGTAACTGAAGCTGCCACTCTGAATTTGAAACCTTTATTCCATAGGTATTCCCAATGATCAAGATCTGTATTTCTCCCCAGATGTTTTGCCCATGAAATCATGGAGGATTTTACTTGGTTGTCTTCCAGGTTATAACATAGGATGTATAACATAGGACAAATCTCCCCTTATGAACCGGCTAGGACCTTAAGATCATTTGGGGAGGCCCTGTTCTCGATCCTGCCTGCGTCACAAATACGTTTGGCGGGGACGAGAGACAGGGCCTTCTCAGTGGTGGCCCCTTGCCTATGGAATGCCCTTCCTAGGGGCATTACATCAGCACCCTCCCTTTTAACATTCCGGAAAAAAGGTTAAGACTTGGCTGTTTGAGCAAGTGTTTGAAAATGCAGTGTGACAGACATATGGAGATTGGACAACGTTTTTAACTAAGAGACGTAAATATAGTACTAGCCATCCCCTGCCACGCACTGCTGTGGCCCAGTCTGGTGATCTGGAAAATAAAGTAATGAGAAAGTGTTGGTTTCTAATATATGTAATTTCTTTCTGCTTGTGGGTAAACAGTATTTCTTGCTGTTTCTTTGTGAGTGTTGATGTGGAAAGTGTTTAGTTTGCGCACCCTGGAACATGCAACATATCATTGTTCTTCTTTAAGGGTCCCTTTCAAATCTATGATACTATATCTGTGTGTGTGTGAATCATATCTATCTATCTATCTATCTATCTATCTATCTATCTATCTATCTATCTATCTCTATGGCTGGATGGCTCTTTGTCAGAAGGACTTTGATTATGTTTTCTTGCCCTGGTGAAGGGAGTAAGACTAGATGGCCTTAAGTATTTTCTGCTTGTCATGGGGGTTCAGTGTGGGAAGTCTGCCCCAATTCTGTCATTCATGGGGTTCAGAATGCTCTTTGATTGTAGGTGAACTGTGAATCCCAGTGACTACAACTCCCAAATGTCAAGGTCTATTTCCCCCAAACTCCATCTGTGTTCATATTTGGGCGTATTGAGTGCTTGTGCCAAGTTTGGTCCAGATCCATCATTGTTTGAGTCCACAGTGCTCTCTGGATGTAGGTGAACTACAACTCCCAAACTCAAGGTCAATGCCCACCAAACCCTTCCAGTATTTTCTGTTGGTCATGGGAGTTCTGTGTGCCAAGTTTGGTTCAATTCCATTGTTTATGGAGTTCAGAATGCTCTTTGATTGTAGGTGAACTATAAATCCCAGCAACTACAACTCCCAAATGACAAATCATAAATTTTTGAGTGATGGTCACACCTTGTGTTGTGAGACGTTTTGTTGCCAAATTTGGTGTGATTTCGTTCATTGGTTCTTTTGTTTTTAAGGTATTCATTATGCACAGAGCATTTATATAGATTGATCTTGTAATGGTTTTATATTATATGTTAATGTTTTTAAATGTTTTGTGGTGTTGTTGGGCATTGAATTGTTGCCTCTGTAAACCTCCCTGAGTCGCCTGTGGGCTGAGAAGGGCGGTATACAAATAGAATAAACAAACAAACAAACAAACAAACAAATGAATTTGTACAATTTTGGCTATTAAACCAAGTAAAAAAGGAAGCACAATTGGAGCCCTGGCAGACCGTGCAAAAAAGAGTCTCCGAAGCCCACCTCCTCCAAGGTGAACTGAACCACCTCAACTGGGCTTTTCMGACCAATGGAGACTCCACCACAGACATCAGAAGAGCTGCTAGACCGAGAACAAGGCATGAGAGTCAAGACAGAGATCCACTCAGAAGAAGAAAAGTGTTCTKGCCATACATCAAGGGAACTACCGACTGCATAGGGAAGCTGATGAAAAAGCACAACCTTCAAACTATCGACAGACCCACTAAGAGAATCCAACAAATGCTCCGTTCGGTGGTGGAAAGAAAAAATGTATTGAAACCAAAGCAATGTAAAGTAAAGATAAATGTATTACAAATAGTTGTTAACAATACAATAAAGATTTTTTTTTTTTTAAAAAAAAACGACTCACTGTGACTCTTATACCTATTCTACCTGACTTTCTTCATGTGGACCCTTCATTGCTTCCTCCCCAAATACCATTGGATCGCTAGGCCATTTGAACAGAGTCTAATAGTTTTTCTTTCCAGTCCTTTGTTAGTAATTCCTTCTCCCCCTTCCAAGATTTTGCTATTGTTAATCTAGCACAGCGTTTCTCAACATGGAGGTCGGGACCCCTGGGAGGGGTCGCGAGGGGGTGTCAGAGGGGTCACTAAAGACCATCGGAAAACACGGTATTTTCTGTTGGTCATGGGAGTTCTGTGTGGGAAATTTGTCCAATTCTGTCATTGGCAGGGTTCAGAATGCTCTTTGTTTGTAGGTAAACTATAAATCCCAACAACCACAACTCCCAAATGTCAAGGTCTATTTTCCTCAAACTCCACCAGCATTCACATTTGGGCATATTGAGTATTTGTGCCACGTTTGGTCCAGATCCATCTACAGTGTTCTCTGGATGTAGGTGAACTACAACTCCAAAACTCAAGGTCAATACCCACCAAAGCCTTCCAGTATTTTTTGTTGGTCAAGGGTGTTATATGTGCCAAGTCTGGTTCAATTCCATCATTGCTGGAGTTCAAAATGCTCTTTGCTTGTAGATGAACTATAAATCCCAGCAACTACAACTCCCAAATGACAAAATCAACCCCACCCCCACCCCAAACCCAGCAGTATTCAAATTTGGACATATCGGCGGTGTTTGTGTCAAGTTTGATCCAGTGAATGAAAATACATCCTGCATATCCGGTATTTACATTACTATTCATAACAGTAGCAAAATTACCGGGCGTCCCCTGGGCAACATCCTTGCAGACAGCCAATTCTCTCACACCAGAAGCAACTTGCAGTTTCTCAAGTTGCTTCTGACATGATTTTTTTTAAAAGTAGCAATGAAAATAATGTTATGGTTGAGGAACTGTATTAAAGGGTCACGGCATTCGGAAGGTTGAGTAACACTACTCATGTTGTTGTTCGTTCGTTCAGTTGCTTCCGACTCTTCATGATCTCCTGGACACTGTTCTAGCAGCAACAAATCTATATTGACATATTTCTTCATCTCCTTTGCTAATTCTCTCTAAATCGCCCTAAAAGACACTTTTCTGGGTTTTTCTTAACCTTATTAGTCGTAATTTTGCTGGTTTCTTTAATCACATTTTCCCAAAGATCTTGTACCATCTGACAAGTTCACCAAATATGGGAAGAGTGCCTTTCTGCATCTTGCACCTCCAGTATTCCCTTTGGTGAAATTTATCTATTTTGGCCCATTAATCTCTGGGGTTATAAAACAGGTGATGGAGGTGGAGGATGAGGAGAAAGAGTTGCCCTCCCTGTCCCTGGGGCAGAGGCCCAGAAGAAGGGGAGTGTGCTGGCCAGAAGCAGATGAGCCTCGTGGCAGTGGAGGACAAGGCGCAAACCAGTAAAAGGCTCTGCCCCGGACTGGTGTGAATGAGCACAACTTCCTGGGCATGGCCGTAGACCAGACAAGCTGCCGAGTGTGAAACACTCCCACCTCCCTGCACCAACCCCCCTGATTTTGTTGCTTGACAAAATTGAAGGAAAAGTTGATAAGGAGAAGGCCTGGTTATGGCTCACAAATGGAACCCTGAAGGAGATAGAAGACCTGATTTCTAAAAGGTTCCTGGGAGGGAGAGGCCTCCTTCCTTACCTTTGACGCTGGCCTCACTTCAATGATGTGCGAAGGTAGAGAGGGCTCCTCCGTGCAGGTTTCTTGTGGCTTGATGTGCGTTCGGAGAGAGGGCTCCTCTGCGCAGGTTCCTGGTGGCTTGATGTGCGTCTGTGATATCGAGCTCTTTTGGGGGGCTTCTCCCAGTGAAGGAGATCCCTGGAGACCGCTAAAGGGGTCCCTGACCTTGGTGAGCGGCCAGCAGGAGCCAATCCAAAGCGCGAAGTATTAGCAATCAATCTCACCAGAGGCTGAAGAGGTATCCAGTGACCGAAGCGTTTATTTCTGCGATTCAGCTGAAAAGGATGCGTTACAGGGATATTTCCACCATAAGCATACATTCATAGAAGTTACAGGCATTTTTATATTGTCAGAACAAAGGAAAAACAGTTTGAAAATCCCGCCCGCCCTCCGTCAGCTGGCTTCGTCCTGATTGGCTGTCCCTGGAACAGCTGGGAGGAGGCCGGGCCGTATGTCCCGCCTTCCCTCCAATCGCCGGGCGCTGTTGCCTCCAGGGGGCCAATCGGAGCCTTTCTAGCGCTTCTGAGGATGGTCCAATCAGCGACCAGGAGGTGGGACCTGGTTTGACAGCTCATAGGGGGCGGAGTGCCTGGGAGGTGTCCGCCAGCCGATTGAGAACTTTTGTTCTAAGCTGTGGGGTGGCAGACGGAAGAAACAAAGAGCTTCCTGATTCCTTGATTGGGGATGTGTAGAGACATGAAAAGGGGCTGTTGATGACATTTGGATCTCGGACTCTGTAAACAAGGAGACCCTTGAACACAAAGGAGCTGCACAAATGCCATGGGTTGGGTTAATCAATCCTTCTTTCCAGGTTTCGGTTGACTTATCTCTGGCCCATTGTCTGAACTCTGAAAATGTGCCCGGAGATAGGATCAACCCCGGCCCATGCAAAATGTTAATATGAATGGATTTACTTTTGAGGAAATGAGGTTTCCTCCTGACAATAACCTCAGGTCACATTCTTTTCTGGGGCAAGGTTCAGAGGGAGGAAAGGTGGGAGGGGGAGAGAGTCAGGGTGCATCTTATGTGATAGATATCAATTATAAACATTTTCTCATGCTTCATACATTTCATACATTTCATTTCTGCCAGAATTATGATCTCCTTGGCGAAGGTGCACACGCAGGCGGAGGCTGTTCCTGCCCAGGGGCCTGGTTCGGAGTCCGTGGAGAAGGTCCAAGACGATGGGGCATCAAGTCAATAAGTAAAGGCAAAAGAATCTGTAAGGGGACTTCCAGGCGGAGGGGTGTGGGGCAATGTCCTTCGGAAAACTACATTTCCCTGATCAAGGGCCAGGGTCCAGTGCACAAGCCAGAGAATTCACAAAGAAGAAACAGGAACCCAGTTATGTGTGCTGGGTCAGGAAGCAACAGAATCCATTGTCCGGCCCTTGGCGAACTACAAATACTCGAGGGGGGGGGGGAAAAAGATGCTCCGCATCATCTGGAGAGAGGGCTCCTCCGCGCAGGTTCCTGGTGGCTTGATGTGCGTCTGGAGAGAGGGCTCCTCCGTGCAGGTTCCTGGTGGCTTGATGTGCGTCTGGAGAGAGGGCTCCTCCGCGCAGGTTCCTGGTGGCTTGATGTGCGTCTGGAGAGAGGGCTCCTCTGCGCAGGTTCCTGGTGGCTTGATGTGCGTCTGGAGAGAGGGCTCCTCCGCGCAGGTTCCTGGTGGCTTGATGTGCGTCTGGAGAGAGGGCTCCTCCGCGCAGGTTCCTTGTGGCTCGGGAGGTCTGGAAAGGGGCAAGAGAAGGCCACAAAGCATGAGAGACTGGGGCATCCCACCCCCTGGATGGGGCCAAGGGTCCTGCAGCCCCCCTGGCTCCCTCCTTCCCTCCAATGGATGGTCCTGGAAGCCCATGGGGCCCCATGAGGGCATCCCTCTTCTCCACTCCAAGGGACTTAGCAAGAGATTGACCCTTGGAACTGGCTGCCACTGGGGGAGAGGGAGAGCTCTGGCAAGGCAACTAGGGGTCTGCCTGAGGAGTGAGTGGCAGGAGTTTGGGATTGAGAGGAGGAGAGGGATTTACATGTGGCTGGTGACTGGCTGGCCCTTTCCACGCTCACCAATCCGCATCCATATGCAAATTCCCTCTCTGCATAGAAACCTCTCCATCCTAAGGGCCTCTCTCGCTACTTCCTCCACCAGCCAATCAGAAACCATATGCAAATTCCCTCTCCCTCACCTCTCACCCCTGCATACACATGCCTGCCTCCCTGAGGCCCCTCCCTCCTGCCCTCCCACAGCTAAGCCCCGCCCACAAACTTTTTCCCCTACTGCCTAGACTAGCGCTAGCTCTCAATCTGTTGCTTGCATGGAACCCTATTGTTCCACAAAAGTACCCTTAGGGGTTCCATGGAAAATCTTAAAAATCAAATTTGAACAGGATTTCTGGGTCACCTGCCAGGGATGGGACTTGGGGGCACTGTTTTACAGTGACACCGGTCCTTCCTGGAAGGACGGACCCAGAAGGTGGCACTAGGGGATGCCTGATCAACCCTATGGCTATTGTCCTGTCGGGTCCTGCATCATCCAGAGTTTTGGAGTTCAGTGTGATCTGTACACAGATGACACCCAACGCTACTGCTCATTTCAACCGAAAGCGAAAGATGCCACTCAGACCCTGAACCAGTGCAGCTGTAATGGACTGGATGAGGACAAATTGAAAGAAATGCCACTACATTACAGGAAAGGTCAAACTTCCAGATGACTCCAAAAAATCAATTTCCTCACCAGACCTCAACAGACCTCACTACCTCTGAGGATGCTTGCCACAGATGCAGGCGAAACGTCAAGAGAAAATGCCTCTAGAACATGGCCATATAGCCCAAAAAAACCTACAACAACCTAATTTCCTCACCGCCTCCTGACATGTTGAAAAAGACTGCTGGCCCCCATGCTTAAAACTACACAAAGACTGCTCTCTCTCTATTACTTGGGGTGAAATGAATGTGGTGGGATCAGGGGCTTCCTGAATTTTAAGTGCAGCACTTAGTGGAATTTAGTCTATGAGATGAAGTGGTTAGATATTTTATGTGTATTTTTAACATGACTGAGCTTTGGAGAGCTTCTGTTCAACCATCTCAAAGCTCCTTGCTCGAGCGGTGATGGCATGATCATCAGCACAGTTGAAACTCTCTGTCCCTTCTTACACAAATGATCAGCAGTGGCTGATCATTTGTGTAAATGTTGAACATTGATGGAGCAAGCACGTTCCCTTGAGGCAGACTGTTCTTCTGTTTTCACCATCTACTTCTCTGGCCCTGGATTTCAACAAAAAAGCTCCTGTTTTGTAGCAGATTTCCTATGAAGCGGGTGAGGTGATAGTCCTTTGTGATATTATAATTTTTCCTCATGAGAAGGAGATTATTTACAGTGTCATAGGCTGCTGACAGGTCTATGAAGACAGCTCCTGTAATCTGCTTCTTTTCAAAGTTGTCTTCTATGTACTGAGTCAGGTTCAACACTTGTGATGTGTAGCTTTTGCCTTTCCTGAAGCCAGCTTGCTGTGGGATAAGAAATTGGTCTACTTTTTCCATGATTCTATGCAGAATAAGTCTCTACAGAACTTTGTAAAAATGGCACAGCAAAGCGATTGGTCTATAGGTTTTTGGATCATTGCGGTCTTTGCCTGGTTTCAAGATGGACATTCCTCCAGAATTTGGGGATCTGACAGGATGCAATGCAGTTGTTCATTGGCTTTAGCAGCCAGCACTTTGCTTTTCAGCCAAAGTTCTTAATTTTTTTCATCCATAGATCATCCAGGCCAGCTGCTTTGCCATTTTTTGCATTTATTGAAGGCCATGTCCAATTCAGTAGATGTAAAGGGTTCATGAAGGTTGTTGTTCTCAGTTTCGGGTTGTCTGACTTTTGGTTTCCTTCCTACTTTGGTGACAAAGTTGGGTTTCCCATTCTTCAGAAGTTGATGCGCTCTCTGATCTCCCTTTATGTTGGCATGAGTATCAATCAATCCATAATTTATTACAGTCTTTGACCAGCACAGTATAAAATGGGGCACAAGTGCCCAAGGAAGGGAATCGCAGTTCCCAAGTAGGTCAGATAAAAACCACCCTCCTCTTCCACCCTTGGCCAATCACCTCCCACATGCAAATTCCACTCCACCTTACAATTCCCCCTTGCCAAACTTTGCATATTTCCTCTCCCTCCCAGGGGCCCCTCCCTCCTCTCCCTCCCTTGGCCAATCACCTCCCACATGCAAATTCCCCTCTACCCCCTCTACCAACTATGAGGCCTGGTCTGAGGAGGAGGGGACTCTTTGGTGATCACTTGTGCATGTGAATTGGAGTCTGAATTGGAGACCACCACCCCTGTAGTGCCTTCAGGGAGAAAGTAGCTCTTCTCTGGATGATGGGAATTGCCTCACAGACAGATCTGCTTTGAGTGAGAATGTTTCCCATGAAACGTTGCCAGAGGCTCTTCCCTACCCTGAGAAAAAGGCGAGGGAGGTGGACGTGGCTGGGTTGTGGCCTATAACTCAGTGCTTCCAGTTACAGAGAGATAGTGCCAAGAAAAGGCAATTAAGGTTTTCCCAGCATTCGAAAGGTAAACAAAAGGTTGTCAGCTATTAGACTGATAGCGTCTCCATGAGAATGGATTCAGTTTCTTAAGTTAGCCTCTTGAGTTGTTCAGTGTGAGAGCAACTTTGAAGTTTCTTCTTTAAAAAATTATGTTGTTGTTCATTCGTTCAGTCGTCTCCGACTCTTCGTGACCTCACGGACCAGCCCACGCCAGAGCTCCCTGTCGGCCGTCACCACCCCCAGCTCCTTCAAGGCCAGTCCAGTCACTTCAAGGATGCCATCCATGCATCTTGCCCTTGGTCGGCCCCTCTTTCTTTTGCCTTCCACCTTCCCCAGCATAATTGTGTTCTCTAGGCTTTGCTGTCTCCTCATGATGTGGCCAAAGTACTTCAACTCTGTCTCTAGTATCCTTCCCTCCAGTGAGCAGTCGGGCTTTATTTCCTGGAGGATGGACTGGTTGGATCTTCTCGCAGTCCAAGGCACTCTCAGAACTTTCCTCCAACACCACAGTTCAAAAGCATCTATCTTCCTTCATTCAGCCTTCCCTAAGGTCCAGCTCTCACATCCGTAGGTTACTACAGGGAATACCATAGCTTTGACCAGGCGGATCTTTGTTGCCAGTCTGATGTCTCTACTCTTTACTATTTTATCAAGATTGGACATTGCTCTCCTCCCAAGAAGTAAGCGTCTTCTGATTTCCTGGCCACAGTCTGCATCTGCAGTAATCTTTGCACCTAGAAATACAAAGTCTGTCACGGCCTCCACATTTTCTCCCTCTATTTTCCAGTTGTCAATCATTCTTGTTGCCATAATCTTGGTTTTTTTGATGTTTAGCTGCAATAATCACCATACTTTTTTCCTTTTTCATTCCCTTCTCCCTCCCCACACCCACCCCTCTCCCTTCCATGTTGACAACTTAGGGCGGATCTAGACAGCCGCTTTATTGTGGAAACTTCTGCAATAAAAAGGGGGCTGTCCAGACAACATTTTGGGCAACCTGCAATTAATTCTCTACAAACCAGGAAAACCCTGGTTTGTACAAATTAGTTTGATAGTGGGTTTATTCTGTGCCTTCTTGGAATACTGCAGTCTAGACAGTATTTCCACAGTTTTCCGGGCTACATTAGCCCAAAAAACCTGTGGGAATACCAACCCCTTCCCCCCAAGCCAAACTGAGTAAAAAAGGAAAAGAACTCATCCGGCCTCCTTAGGAGGGCTGCTGGAGTTCTCCTGGTGCATACAAATGTAGCGTCAGACAGGCATGATGGTTCGCGAAAAGGGCTTACTGGTGCATTATTTAAACTGTTATGTTTATTCATATCATGATCTGATCACCATACTCAATATATCTCATATGCATGGGGGTATTGGGGTGACGATACAAAAGGTTTGCTAGGGTAGACCCTCTTTCACTCAGACTCAGCCCCCCCCCCCCGAAACAAACTCAGCCCCCCCCCCCGCATCAAAATCCTGGCTACGGGCCTGGCCAGGAGAAAGGGGGGGGGGGAGGAAAATGGCTCTTGCCTCCCCTTCTCCTGTCCCATCATTTGTACATGCCAGGAGATCTCCGGCAGCTGTCCCATGGAGGCCGAGTGAGTTCTTTTCTTTCTTTATTCAGTTTAGGGGGGCTTTATGGGAGGCGGTTAAGTGTCCCAGTGTTGTAGTAGGAAGTCCCAGTACAACATCAGTACACCCACCCCAGAAAGTGCATGCTTTTTGGGGTGAGTGTACATGGAACATCCGTGTTTCTTATATGCAGATGCACCTGGGATAACGGCCTATCTGGAAAGGCCCTTTATCCTTTTGTTTCCCATTACATGAGTCTTCATTCCATTCTATCCAATTTTTTCTTCCAGCTTTCATCATTTGGTTTAACAACCTGTAACCATTTGTTAAATGGAGTCCATGTTTCTTTAATTTTCTCCTGTTTGTCTGACCATGGTTTTTTTGCTGCTTCTAATATTCATAACATCCAGTTGTATTTGTACCCACACATCTTCATACCATTTTTCAAGTGTCCATTTATTTTTATCTTTCTACTTCAAACATATTACTATGTGTGTTGCTCTAAATATCATTATTAATTCTTGATCTTGGTSCTTAATTCTTCTATCAYCATATATCCTTTTAACAAAATTTGCATATTTATATCAAATTTTATTTCAATATGTAATTCAATCTGGTTTAGAATTTGATTCCAAAATTTTTATCTTTTCACACTCCCACCATAGATGTGAATACCATGCTTCCCAAGTCCCTCAATGCCAACATTTGGGATTTAATTCCAGAATCATTTATGTCTGCTGAATTGGTGTTTGTAATGATTCTTACCTCTTAGGCCGCAAGTGAAGCCTGCGAAGTCAGTAAGCTGGCCTCTATGTTAGTAAGGAAATACTGTGTGGCAGACATATTAGGAGAGGCAGATCAGCAGAGGGGAGGAGTCCAGCTATCTCCTGATTGGTTAAGACCCGGTGGGAGGAGCTATCATTATTCCATATATTTTATTGTCCTTTTTTGCCTCTAAAACTCTCTTCTAATATCTTGTCTATTATATTTTCTCCCTTATTACTTTCTTCCTTTTTAATTTGTTCCCTATTTCCTCTTGGTGTTAACCAATTTATCCCGTCCTCTAATGTTTCCGATTATTTCCATTCCATTAATTCCTTATTTTCACTATATAAATCTTTAATTTTACTATATTTGTTCAGTTTCAATTTTTTTAATGATGCTCTTATCCTCATTTCTTAAACTACCTATTGGGTCTTCCTTTGATAAATATGACATCCATTTCTCTTTCCATTTCACCCATATTTTTAATGCTGTTTTCTTTGGGCCTATTTTTTTCTATTCCCTCTTTTAAATTATTTGTAAATATTCCATAGTTTCCTTGATCTTTATTTGCTTCATTCTCTGTTCTTATCCACTTCTCTTGCTTCTTTTCTACCAATTCCAAAATTGCTTTCAATTGAAATGCTTCATAGTATTTGTGTAACTTTGGTATTCCCCTTCCT